TGAGAGGGTGCAAGAGAGAGAGAGAGAGAGAGAGAGAGAGAGAATGGGGGAGAGTAATTTTAACCCTTAAGGAAATGTTTCTGTCCCTCTTAGTCCCTTTAGAGCAGAGGCTGAGAGCTGCCCCAGCTGCCTCCTGCAGAGTCTATTTCTTTCCCAGGTCAAATTATCTCATACATGGTCCCCACCCAGCATCTGCGGGGCAGGCTAGCCACCTTGTTCTCAGCTGGTTTGAGTCTCCCTCCGTAGCCCAGGGCTGTCTGCTCACTTATCTCCATGTGCTGTGGGCTTATCATCACCCTCTTCTCCTACACACGTGCATCTCTCCCCTTCCCACTGTGTCTGCCCTTAGCTTACGAAGCGAAGTTGTAACTTTGAATTCCTGTTTTTCTCACCGCCCTCATGTGACAGGATGTCTCCCAATTGGAGGGTTTTCCTAAATTCAGGAGTCCTTTAAAAGGGGCTGTTTCCTTTGCCCTTCTTTTCAGCCGGGCAGATCCCTGAACCTGGACTAGGCGGAGGGGCAGTCCCAGAACCTGGCCTTGTAGCTTCTCCCCTCCAATTCCCTCCTCTCCATCAGCTGAAGAAAAGGATAGTCTGGGCCATGAGGCTGTCCCCACTCCTGGCTTTTATCTCTGTCATCCCGGTTGCTGTTCAGCTGCTAGGTAAGTCTGCTTTGAGATGGGGACTTCGAACACTTTCGTGTTTGGGGTTGATGCTGAGAGTCCTGTGCACACCTGGGAGAGGAGTGGGGCACACTACCCTTGTAGCACCTGTGTCTCCCCCGGCCCCCAGTGAGCCTCCGACTGAACCGCCACCTGGCAGCCAGGGTGGGAGTCGAACTGGAGCCAGGCAAGGCTGCTGCAACCCGGTGTCAGTTATGATTCTGTGTGAAGGTAATGACTCCTTAGGAATGGATTCGGGGGTTTTGGATGGTCAAAGATATTGATGAATCTCTCTCTGTGTCACTCATTTCCACCTGGTTTAAGCATCGGGGTGAGAGGGCCTGGGGAGAGTTTTCAGTCTAGCTCTATTTTGAGACCTATTTTGGTTCTTCATTTCCTTCATTTCCATCAGACAACTAACACCCGTGGGGCACTGCGTGCACCGTTTCTGGCTCCACAGTCTGCTGGGACACTGATGCAGGAAGTTCCCTAGAGAGCTATTTTGACAGCAGATAAGGTTAAATCCTAATAGGAATTAAATAGCAGGGAGTATCAAAACAGAAGCAAAAGCAATATTCATTTACTGATTGTGTGACCTTCTGCAAGGGATCCGTTTTTGTGCCTTAGTTTCTAGGTCTATAAAATGGGGAGAATAATACTTTCTGCCCATTTATTAATGTGAGGGTTAAGGGAACTATAATATGTATGGCCCATGGTAAGGGCTTCAGAATCATTTGGTATCAAAACAGTAACACATCCCTCTTGTGGTACTAATTAACTGTCCAATAATAGAAATATATGGAACATGTGAAGAGAAATTTGTCAAGAAAGAATATGGAGGGAAGATTCTGGCAGGTTAGATATTTTTTACTCCAGTCCTGGCTGCAAAGCATTGCTCAACCATGGGAGTTGGAGGAGGAAGTTGGAGGAGGGGCTGCTTACAGGGGCTGTGCTGCCCTGGGCGGCATACTGTGCGTACTCCCGGGCTGCAAGGTTTCCATGTAGAGCATCATCACAGTCTCTGGGTTTTTTCCAAGATATCCGCCTGTGAAAGAAGACTGGCATATTCCTAGTGGCGCCAAAGGTAAAGCTCAGAACAGAGAAGATCTAAAGATTGACTGTTTAAAACAGAGTGGGCTGTTGAAGAGTAGTAAATTTCTGTCAGACAAAGACTGGATGAACAATCCAACGGCTGTTTATGGGATGTTTATGATATGTCTATATCCCAGTACAGCCTGACAGACACAGCCATACTGAAAAGAGCTAAAGCTAAAAAGAAGACATTGGGTGTTTAAGTGTGTGTATGTGTTTGTGTGTGTGTGTGTGTGTGTGTGTGTGTGTGTGTGTATGTGTGTGGGGTGTGCAGGCCAGAGGGTGATGTTCACCATAGCTGTGATTATGTAGAGGCCAGAGGGTGATCTCTACCATAGTTTTTGAGGCAAGGCCTGTCATTGAACCCAGAGATCTCCATTCTCCATGTCAGCCAGACTGACCAGTCATTGAGACCCCGGGGTGCACTTGTCTCTGAAACCCAGTATTTTACGTGGCTGCAGGGGATGTAAAATCAGGTCCCTGTGCTTTCATAGCAAGCAGCCACCAATCCATCTGCCCAGCCCAACATTTTCTTAACAGTCTTCATTTAAACCAGTATAGCGAAAACATGACCATTCAACACTTAATCAATTTAAAGACAACTGGGATATTTTCACATTCAAGATTAAAAATTAACTCTTCAAATCTGGCGTGTGTTGTGCTTGCAGCACCTTTACCTTGTTCCGGTGTCTGGGACTTCTGACTCCCAGCCTGGGCAGCAGAGGTGCAGCCCTGGATTGCTTGCTTGCTTTTTTATGGGGGGTGATTGAAATGTCATTTATTCTTTGCTTTGATACCTCCATCATCCATTATCCAGACGGCACAGTGAGGCCACCCCTCGTTTATCCAGTGCTTCTGAAGATGTCCGTCAGGAGCTCAATGGAGAGCATAGTAGAGTGGTCTGTGTAGGGAGGGTACCTCTTCAGGCACTTGTTTTATACACTGGACACACACAAATGTTGTGATGCAGGAACGATGTGCTCTTTCAGCCAAATGATGGACGATGGGTCATAGAGGATTTGGGGGAGAGACTCTCCAATCTGCATTGCTTTCCTGTCCCAGCAGCACCTTCGAGGAAAAGTCCCATCCTCTGGATACTCTCCATAGTTGTTTCTTTGTGTGGTTACCTCAAATTCAGATCCGATGAGGTCTATGGGGATGGTGTATTTCCAGGCATAATCCTGAGAGACACCAGTCAGAAAAGACGGTATGAAGTAGAATTCAGAGATCCGAAACATCCCAAGGGACCCCTTGGTGGTCCAGTCCTTAATTTCTTTGAACTGACTCAATGCTTTCTGAACAAAATGTTTCTTAAGAAAATTGAGAGGCCTCCTTGAGACCCCTTCTTGCCGGAAGCCTCCCTCTGAGCAACGTCTTCCTCTTTGTTGTTTAGAGACTGAGGGAGAGAGCGAGGTCCTACAGGTCCCTTTAGAGATTAAAACATAAATAAACAAGAAAGGGGGACATGGGAGCCCTGTCCAGAAATGTCGATAGTGCTCAAAAACCTGTGATTCTCCCCGACACCCCAGCACTTCCCTGGGGAATTCTAGGCACACACTCTACTGCTGAACCATGGCCCCAGCCTCTTTTTACATTTATTTATTTCAAAAATTTTTATTACATTTCATTTAAGTACCACAGAATGCATGTAGAGCTCCAAGGAAAACTTATAGGAGTCTATTCTTTCCTTCCATTATGTGAATCTTAGGTTCAGGGATCAAACACAGGTTATCAGTCTTGGAAGCACGTACCTTAACCTACTGAGGCATCTCATTGGATGGCTATAGAAAGAATAATAGAAAACTATTATTCTTATTTGACTTTTTCTTGGTTCTAGTAGCCCAAGTCCCAAAGGGATCTGGGTAAAACACTTAGTCAACAGCTGACTGAAGGACACATGACCCATTTCCCTGGTTTCCTACCCACTCTGAACAACTACAGGATTGGTCTCCCCGCTACCTGTGGGTTCTTTATTTTTTTCAACCAAAACCCTTTTCCTCCACCTCCAAAGGAACACCTCATATTTGTAGCACAGTATGCATCTGTGAGCTGATGCCAGTGATGGACCACTTATGCCTTGGGAGTCTAGGGAGGTTCATAGATCAGTGTCCAGAAATGGATTTCTCCAAGGCCGAATTCAACTAGTGCCTGTGTCAGCCATTTACTTCCTTTCCCACCTTTCCCTGGGACCTGGGAGCCTAAAGGCTGGGGCAGGCATAGGACTGGCCCAGGCATTGGATTCCAGGGCACCACAGGAGAAAGGTTGGGCCTTAGGGGTCTTGTCCTCCCCAGTTGGCCTATTGTTACACATTAAAACTGTTTACTTAGCTTAAAAAAATGGAGCCATTGACTCTCCTTGATGACCTGCTGTCTTTTAGGCATTTGTGATTTGTGTGTGTGTGTGTGTGTGTGTGTGTGTGTGTGTGTATGTTTGGGGAAAACTTATAATAATAGTAGAGACATTATAAGAGTTGTTTGGACACTGAACTTGGACCAAGCAGAGAAATTTAATTTGGTGGGCTTGGCTCATGGGCAATGGTTGTGTTGGTAAACTAAACAACTGGTTCAGAGAAGAAAAAAGCATAAAGCACTAATTGATCTGTGCCATTTACAGATTTTCTTCTTACTGTTAGTATTCCCATTCCCACCATGGTTCATTTCTAACTGCTACCCTGAGGCTGTGCAAGCAGATTTGGGAAGAGAAGCAGGCAGGAGGCTCTGGAGGCTGTTGCCACTGGGCAGCGTGGTAGCTTCCCAGCTCCCAGAGCACAGTAAACAGGGTGTGGCACAGTGGGAAGTCTAAACAAGGGCCAGCTATGAAAATGAGAGGAAGTCATGATAAGGGAGAAAAGCTTTAGGCTCCCCAGTCATCAAAAGCAAGAGCTAGCTTGGAAACGATGTGTTTTGACACTGTCATTTTCTAGACTAGGCAACAGGCTTAGGGAGGCACATGCCCAGGTCACCATTTAGGAGGTGGAGGCTGGCCAGGGCTGCCGCTCTTGGCACTTGCTCTTCTAGCCCCTCTTACATTTCTTGCTGCAATAGAAGACCACGTGAGTGAATTAGACCACACTGTGGTACCATATGGGGAGCTCAAATTAGGTGGGGAGATTCTGGTCCTGAACTTTTAGCTTCCTCGTTGAATGCTAGAAAGAGAGCTTTACTGCCCTGTTATCACAGATTGATTCATACCATCATCTTGCAAGCTTTGATTTCAATATAAATGTGTTTCTTACAATTTTAATTCTTGTTTATTTATTATTGTTAAACTCAATTTATTGGAAGAAAAAAGACCAGCTTCTTCCTTCACTATTTTGTTTGTTCTGATGCTCCATTTCTCAGATTTCTCAGAATTTCTGTCTGGAAGTGTTTTCTCATAGCCCTTTGGATGGATAGCTAGGTTAGGGTGTTGATAATTAAGTATACTTTTTAATCACATTTTGTTTACTATGTGTGTCTGTGTGTTTGTGTCCATGCACCAGCATTCATATGCAAGTCAGAGGACAGCTTGCAGGAGAGGGTTCTCTCCTTATACCTTCTGAGATCTGGGGCTTGAACTCAGGTTGCCAGGTTTGGTGGCAAGCACCTTTTCCACTGAGCTGTCTTGTCCACCCCATAGTTTTAAAGTTTAATCTACAAGTATTGTGCATAACTGATGAAGCCAACACATAAAGCCAGGGCCTTCCCTGGGTTCACATTTCATTGTTGGAGCAGAGAGAAAACTGACAACAGTAAGATGACACTGTACTTTTACCACATGAAAAACAATGGAGTGTGTGGGTTTCAGAAGTCCGCGAGTCAGTGACAGCCAGCTCTTGACCATGGCTTTCTGACTCTGGGGCTAAGAGGTGACATGATTTACCAGCTGGCCTGTGCTGATCAGGAAAGACATAAACGACAGTACAGTT